TTTTCAGAAAAAGAAAACAAGAGTCACATAATTAACATAAGTTTGAGTGTCTTAAAATCCTGAAATAATACAGCGCACAAACGATGATTGAAACGAAAGTTTTCAGTGAAACACTATGTTTTGCGGTTACTGAGCACAACAGTCAAGAAGGAAATCTTGATACCTTTAAAGGCACCAGTTAGTAATTTTATTTAAGAAGCATGGGGACAGGACCTGTGGGCAGAAAAAGATGCACTTCAGCCTGCTGGAAGCTGGTAGTTACATGCAGTGTGCAAGGGGCCGGGGACATGCAGGGAGTATTAGATCCTAAGTGTTTCTTTGAACTTCTACTTGTAAAACTACTTTTGCAAGATTTCTCTGGTGCTTCTTCCGTTGGATACTGTCGGTGAGAGGTACAGGCAGTCAAAAGACCCTTTAAGAACGTAGCTACCAGCCTTTATTTGATCCTTACTAGAAGTATGCGGGCTCTAGGTCGGCGTTCTGGCTTAACAGTGAACCTTCTTCTGCTTCTAGCCCTCATCATAGTCGACTTAGAAATAATACCTCTTTTATTTATATCATTCAATGTGTTTGTGTTGAGAGAGTGAATAAAAGACAAAAGCATCATTACCCAGAAAGAGCTTTATAGGTGTCATGTCTTTGAAATGTTTCTTTAGTCACCATGACAGTTCTGTACTCTGTAACTTTTCATGTGTATATATCTACTTTCTGAATGTATGGATGTGTGCATGAAATGTGAAAAGGTACATGAGTGTTGTGTGGATCCCTTCTTGTTTCCCTCATTCTTCTCAGGTTTGACACCTGCTATGAATATGCTTTAGAGTCCTTTCTGTATATTGACCTGTGTGTCATTTTAGATCGACTCTAGGTCAGACAACCAGTGTGAAAACCTGATCCCTTCCATGTTACTGGATGTTTGACAATATTCCCATAAAAATAGAAGAATAATGTGTGTGTTCTGAGATTTTTATTATTCCTACCCATTAATTTATGAATGACTGTTAGATGGTCTTGGGTAACTAGGAAATGGCGAGAAAGGATTGTTGTTGGCTTTCTTACCATTCCAGTAGAACCTGTAATTGTTAGGGCGCCTGGACGGCCCAGTCGTTAAGCATCTGCCTTTGGCTCAGGGTCATGACCCCAGGGTCCTGGGATCGAGTCGGATGTCGGGCTTCCTGCTAGGCGGGAAGCCTTCTTCTCCTTCTCCCGCTCCCCCTGCTTGGGTTCCCTCTCTCGCTGTGTATCTCTGTCAAATAAATAAATAAAATCTTTAAAAAAAAAAAAAAGAACCTGTAATTGTTATAAAACCCATTCAGTTCCAAGGCTTCCAAGAATTCTTGCCTTGGAGTTCTACCTCTTTGTTATTCAAAAATGTTTACCCATAGGCTACTGCCTTATTAGAAATACAGATTCCCATTTAACCTCAGGACTCCTGAACAGAATCTGCGTTTTAACAAGATCTCCAATGCACTGTTGTGAAATTCTCATTCACTTTAGAATTTGATCAGTACATTTGTAACCCACTAAAACATTCCACCTAAGAAGTAGACACAACTAGGAGTGCCTGGGTAGCCCAGTTGGTTCAATGTCTGCCTTTGGCTCAGGTCATGATCTCCAGGGTCCTGAGATCGAGTCCCACGTTGGGCTCCCCGCTCAGCATGGAGTCTGCTTCTCCCTCTCCCTCTGCCCCTCCCACCCTGCTTGCACTCACGCTGTCTCTCAAATAAATAAAATTTTTAAAAAGAAAAGACAACCTATAATGTATAATATAAATACAGTACTCAATAATTTGTTATGCCTCTGTTGACGCCTTCATTTTACAAATTATCTTGGATAAATACACAGTATTTATAACAGTTTTCTGGATCATATGCCATCCACTTACCTTAAACGTAGAGAACGCATTAGAGCATATTACGTGTTAAAAACTATCTTTTTTTTTTTTTTTTA